ACAGCCGACTTCAAAAGAGCTGAGGACACACAGAGGAATAGGGTGACCCAGCATCGCAATTTGCCAGCGAGTAGGGGATTTCTTAGGATGCGGGACTTTAAGTGTTAAAACCAGGGCAGTCAGTGGAAAACCAGGATCGTTGGTCACCTTACACAGGGATGACTTGAAGGTAACATTTTTATTAAGTAAGTTTTGCACTTTTGGATAATTTTTGAACCATCTCATTTAAGGAGAACTTCGGTAAAATAATTTCCATGTCTTCCTGAGGAGAAACGCTTTGTGTTGAGGATGGTGGGTGGTGGGAAGATGGGGAAGCCTCCGGTGGGAGGCTGGAGGTTGCTTTCAGCCCCATTTGCTTCTCCCAAGGGAAAGCTAAGGGACAAGGGGAGACAGGCGATTCTATAACCAAAGCCATTTTTCTTGTGATTTCTGGCTGTTTAAACTCCATGAGGCTAAGGCTAGAGTTACATTGCTAAGCTGTCCCAGAGGTCAGATCACTTGGCTCTTTTAATCTTTACTTAAATAATCTTTAATTATTTGCTCTTCATTTTGCCTGGAATGTCAACAACCCTACTTTGTCTCCACCTATGGAAATCTTGTGGCCTGCACTCAATTGTTCCCACCTCTGGAAGGCTACCTTCAAACTCCCAGGTAGAGTCAATTCCCCTTCCTGTGGGCTTCTAGAATATTATGGTCCTATAACACTTACTCCAGTTTAGGAACTGGAGGGTCTTTGGAACTCAGCAAAGAGGAGGCATCTGATTTAGTTACTAATCAAACTAAATTGACATGATACCAATAACAAAAGTTTCTATTAGTAACAAGAAAGCCCTGCTAGGATTCTCCTGGCATTTTGAGGAAAAGACCATATGCATAATAAAATCTCATGCATCTTAAATGGAATTCCACATTTTAGTGCTGAAATTCACGATTTCCCAATCACAACTGGGAAACTGACAGAGTGGAGGAAGATGGGAATATTGAGGGAGTGGGGAGCGATGGTTAGGGATAGTGACAGCACCCGCACCATGGATTGGAAAACACTCACAGGATTAGCCATCGTAGTCAGTGCTGCTGGGAGTCTGGCCCAAGCCCTGTGAATGTTCTGCATTGCTTCTGAGAGCCCATTCCGGTGCTTCTGTGTGTGTTTTAATTTTAACAGCCTGCTGCCCCTACCACCATCTTCATAAGATTGCCCCTGGGCTATGGGAGCCGCTTCCACTTCCGTTGCGGATGCAGGAAGCCAGAGCCCTTGGGAAATTGCATGTTTCCTTTCTACTCTCAGTCAAAGACTGATGGGCAGCATCACGGAAGCCCAGTTCTCTTACCAAGGATGCTATTTTCACTCCAGAACTCCCTCCCCAGGATTAGGCAGGGACTGGGTCTTGTCCTTGTCCTAAAATTGTACCCTGGCTTCTTCCCTTGCTGACTTGCTTTCCCCACACCACTTTGGGTTCCTCCTGGGAGTACTACTTTAACAAATTGCGTGTGCATTTTTGTTTCAACGTCTACTTCCATATAATCTAACCCCAGACAAGATTTTAATTTTGTGGCTTCCTAGGGCAAGCTTCTTGCTAGAAAGACCCAAAGGCAAGTAGGTCCTCACCTCTGGCCTGTGAGGTCTGGCAATGGGTACACGTTATTCTTCAAGACTCACCTATATTTCAAGGGATCATTTTCAATACCTCTAGGATAAGGATGGTGAGAACAAACTGGAGACAGCTGGCCATATCATGCTGCACCTGTGGAGGGCTCTTTAAGCTGCTAGATTCACGGGAGAGTCTGATGAAGTTTTAAGAACTATTGTAAGCTTCCATAAATAGCTCCATATCTAACCCAACTTAAATAGAATTTATTCCAAGGTAAAAATATTTTTTTCCCTCTCATCACACTTTAAGGTTTTTTATGTCTTGATTCAAGCCAAGATGAGGATTGGAAACATTATAGCAATTTTTTTTTTCTTTTTTGGAAATTATTCTTGGGAAACAGTTCTCTTGAAAAAGTTGGTTCTTATGAACTCTTCTGCCCGGTATTCAGATGTCTTTTCAGATCTTTGTAGAAAGATTTAGACTTCTATGTATTTTCTATGCAAATTTGACACATGTAAGAGTATTTCTTTCAGTTAACTGTGGAGATGGGGGTAGGGGAGCAGAAAGAAAGAAACACAATTTGCTGAACAGTCATTTATATTTGTTTTTATTTTCGGCTAAAAGGTCAGTAAAATTAACCATGTTCAATTGTGAAATGATTAGCTATGTTATTTCATGTAATCTTATACAGTCGATTTCCCGCTCTACTCCTTAGAACCAGATTGTGAAACAGATTTTACTCATTGGATGAGAGAGCGATTGGATGGTAGAAAATATTATTTTGTCAGTATTAACAGTTTGTCATATTTCCCTTAGTCAGCTTCAGAAATTTCCAGAAATACTTAGATCATTCAGTTGTTAAAGCATGCTAAACAAAGCCTGGCCTTTATGACAGAAGTCACGTAGACCCACATTTTAGAATTTCCCCACTCACCGCTCAACCCTGCAGTCATACATTTATAATGTCTCATCTCCTTTGGTAAACTGTCAGATCTGCAGACTCAAAATCTAATTGTTGACATATCATCAAATGAAAAGTAACAAAACCAGGTAAACATCACCAAAATCAAGAACATTGTCTTAGCATTTAAACTTTAAAATGTATTTATACTACTCTGGACTCATTTTCTCCTTCCATCATCTTTAAGATTGTTATGAGTATCTGCTCTACTGCTTATGGTCCTGCAAGAACTAAAACTTCCAGGAGTATTAAACTATGGTTATAATCCATGCAGTGTGTAACTCAATGCTGAGAAGAAGCTACGCATGCATATGTATGCTCAAAATATAAGAATTTAAGAAAAATGTACGATGATGAAAAATGCATGGACTGAAAGTGAAAAGAGCTCAAAACAGCTCTGTAGCTGTGTGACTTTGCACAAATCACTTACATTCTTTGGCTTCCATCTCCTTGCCCTTAAAATACAACTAATCAAGCCTACATTTTGGTCTGAGCATGGAATTAACAACATTTCTGGCAGTGTTTTACAAATTGAAAAAAGGTGTTCAAATGTTAGTTTATTAAGTAAAGCTGAGGCTGGAAATACAGATTAAATATAAGGAGATAGCTAAAGTTCCATGGTAACGAATCATATCTTCCATATGTAATCTTTTATCAACCCACTTGACAAATATGCATATTTTTTGAGGGACTATGATGTGCCAGATATTGCTGGAAAGATGTTTGGTGAAAGAGACAGGTACCATTGAGCTCTAGACTGGAACACAGACGGTAAACGGAAAAGCTTTAGGGCCGCTTCAGGCAGTGGTAAGTGAGATACACAACAAAAGGGAGTCTTGGGGCACGGAGTTGGATCGGGACCAGATCAGGTAAGGACTTCCCACAGGAGGTGCCATTCGGGCTAGGACCTGAACAATGAGTCAGCTCGGTGAATGAAGGCCAGAGGGGACCATTCCAGGCCGAGGAAACAGCCCCTGCAAATCATCCCACCAGAGCAGCTGGTATATACTCAGATCCTTTACTTCTCAGTTTTCCCTCTTTCATTGTTCTTCACCTCTGTGCTTACCCATTTTCTATGAGACTTTTAGCATATCCTCGCGGGAGAACTGATTCTAGACTGCTGGAGTAAAGCTGCACCAGCTTTAAGAAGCCCAAATCTTGTGTGGCTTCTTCATCCTCCTGCCCTAAACCCCTGGGAGCCCAGTGTCTGCTTTCCAGGGCCACCATTTAAGCTCCCAGGCTGAAAAGGAGTCTCTTGCTTCCAGGGAAAGGGCAAAAGAGAAGGAGACTGAGGCATACCATCTCCACTGGGAAAACAGAAATAGAACGATTAGGGGGAGAAAATGAGGAGGTCTCAGCCCTTCCTTCCTGAAGGCAGAATGACACCCCATCCCTTCCAGCTCCCATTTAGTTCAAGCACCCAGAGCAGCAGCAGCTGCACTTGGGGTGAATTGCGGAGCCTAGTACTCTGGTGAGAGGAAGTATCATTCATTTCCAACAGAAGCAAGGCGTTCCTCACCCTGTCTGCTCTATGTCAAACCAGATGCAGTGGCCTGGCCCCACCGAGGTGCCTGGGCAGGGGACGTGTGGGTGTATCATTGTCTCCCATGGGAAAGAAACCCTTTGTGTCTCTTGGCATTGCCTTTGGACCAATGTAGAGGGCTCTCTCTAGGGGAAGTACTTGTGAAAAATCCATTCCATCTCTTAGGATTGAACACTGTTCCCATGCACTCTGGCCGTGAGAAGGCCAGGAGAGCACATGAGCCTTGGGCTGGCCTCCCTTGATGTCGTGGCTGCAAGAGTCACTTTGCGTAGGATGGACATATAACCCCATTCCCGAAAGAAGCTTCCTGCTTCTGCTTCCGGAGATCTTCCATTAGAAGCCTGCTTCAAGGATGGAATTCTGACCATTTCTCATAAAGATGCCAGACTATGCAAGAATGCTGGAACCCAGATTCCAACACATATCCCCAAGCCCAATTTCCATGATCCAGAAGAACCCAATTTTGCCTGTGTCTATTCAACTTCTTCATATATATATACACACACACACACACACACACAAATATATATATATATAATATTTATCAGGGAAAATAGGGGTGATGGAAGAAAAATCAGCTCAATAAGGGGGTTGAGCTAAAAACATGAGTTTCCCTCTGTGGCACTTTGCTTAAGTATGTTTAATATAGGTATAGTCTATATGGGTTCATTCTGATTCCCCCAGGAGGCAAGAGGTTTTGTTAATATTCATTTGGGGAGGAGAGAGGAAAGAGAAAAAGAAAACATGGGATAAAGGAGAGATTGTTAGAAAAGGTAATCTGGTTATTTATTTATAGTTTACTTAGCCAAAGGGACCTTAAAAAAGCTTTGATAAGAATGGCCCAAGTTTCTTCAAAGATTAACTGGCATTCTTTAAAAAGGCATCAGTTTTCTTTCGCACAGGTGTTTGGAGAGCCTGGATGCCCCCTAGAATCCTGTGCTGGTCTGCAGATTTCCTGAAGACCTTAAGACATGCTGACATCATGGTCTCCTTTCTCAGATTCCTTCTCTCTCTCTTTCTCCCCCACTCTCTCTCTCTCTCTGTCTCTCACTTTCTCTCCTTTCCTCCCTCCCTCCCTCCTTCCCTGTCCCTCCCTCCTCTGCCCAATGTCTCCCAATCTCTTTCTTTCTCTCTTTAGTTCCTCCAGGTAATTCTTACTTAAACTTGTACCAACTTGTTTTTGACTGACAGTGAACAGTGAGAGAGTTTTCTTCATTTTGAGGAACCCTAAACACCTATCTTTCCCAAGGCAACCTGTCTGGACTGAGCATTTCTGTGACTTGACATAACTCCCCATCCAGCCAGGAGTCTGCACTCTTCCGTCTTTGCAGGTAAGAGGTACACGGTGCTTATGTCAACTCTGGGGCATGTGACATGCTGGAGGTAGTTTTGAAAAACTTTACTTCTAAAGGTAATGAAAACATTTGATTCTTTTAAAACTTATTTAAATCATTCAAGACGCCCGTGCTTATCTGGGGGAATTTACAAGTGCTGTTTGCATGTGGAAAATGGGATTTTAGTTAATGATGGGACAAAAAAAAGTGTTTTATTCTTGCTCGTGAAACAATATCCAGATGTTGTCTTGTTTGCTGTGGGTCTACGGGGGTCTAGCTCGCGGGAGAATTACTCCGACTTCGCTTTGCAAGGGTCTGTCAGAGCAAGTTTGTTATTGATTTTCAGCGATTGCATAGTTCTTTGGCTAATTCTGAAGCAGTTACTTTCCTTTGTCAGTGGGGAAATCAGTTTGGATTGCCGTAAGGCGAAACCTCGCTGGAATATTTTAAAATCTGTTACCTATCCTTATAAGAAAAGTTATGTAAGTTTTCTGTGGTAGGTGTATGGAATGTAAACAATCCTGACTTTGGAAACATTATCAACTGTGTTCACGACCCATGATTAATCTGTTTCTTAATCTGTGTGTAATTTCGTGAGAGTTTAGACTATCCTCAGCTAATAAATGTTATACTGGGTGAAATTTCCACATTGCTCCTGTAACGCCAACGTTTGTCTCCTCTGTACTTCCGCATTTAGTCGCTTGAAGGAAATAAGAATTTATTGTTCAATAGACGTTTATTGACCTCATAATTTCTTTAACCCACAGGTTAGAAAACTTACAACGAATGTAGTATTTAACTGTGGAAAACTAAAGACCAAAAATGTGTACCATTAATTCAAATGTTTAGATTTATTTTTATCTGAACATATCTTAATCTTTTTCCCTTTAACCTGTAAGAGGGATTTTGAAAAAAAAATCCAAGTGATTCTTAATATCCATTTTTTTTGCAACCTCAGGATCACATGCACACACTCACACTCATGCATGATCAACTGTTATCCCCAATCCTATCTTATTTTGTCCTCTCATGAATGTTTAAACAAATATGAAACAATCAGTAGTAATAGCCTTAGGTGACAAATTCTGTCCTATTTTAAATTGTCCTAAAAATCAAAAGAAAAGTGTCCCATAAAGGTATAATACATTTTTAAATACCATCATTTTGTGAAAACTAAATACAGTATCAGAGACACTTCCAGCCGAGTAATTAAGTAAGTCAGCACTTACCTCACACACAGCTTTCCCGGGCGCTGTTCTTTCTTTCCATACCTTCTAGGATTTTACTTTTTAGCAGTTTTTCTCCTTCTCTAACTGTTAATATAATAAATGACCATCCACCCAGAGGTAACAAGGCAAGTCTTCCCAAAATACTGAAGAGTAGAAGAGTTTAACCAAATTGTCAGTAGCAGCATGTCAGAAACGCTCATCAAATAACGGAACAGACTTTTCTTCACTGAATTAAATAAACGTATAAATAGTCTGGGGATTTTAGAGAAATTGCCTTAGTTGAACTTTGTGATTCTGGTTGCTTAAGGAAAACACATTTTTCTAAAACGTCCCCTCTCCATCTTTCCACTCCTTCCTCCCACTAACAGTTGTGGTCATTTTACAGAAAGTCTTATTTCCCCAATTTCCTCTCCTCACACTTCTCACCAGTGCAGACAGTCAGTGTTTTGGGGGGAAAGAGAGTAAGACCCCAGGCTGCATATGCCAGCAAACCTGAGAAGCCAACAAAAGCAGGTCTCCGGGCTCTTTCCCACAAGGCTCAGCACAACCTCACTCTGCTTCTGCATCGAGGAAATCTCGAAAGGGCTGTGCTTTCTTGGGGCGTGTGTGTGTGTGTGTGTGTGTGTGTGTGGTGTGCGCAATTATATAGCTGAATAACAATGACATACTCGGTACAAGAAAACCCACCAATATGTGACTTTAGACATGGAATAGAGAGGCAAAGTTATTCGGATTTAATCAGTACATGCCAAATCCTTGAAATATCCTTTCCTGTCCAATCTCCTCTCATCTGTTTAGAGACTCGAAGCAACCCACGAACTTTTTTGCATACTTTACCTCAGAGTTCAGGGTTGCTTATGAAATGTAGTTGCATGGTGGATGCGTCAGAGTCTTAGAGCCAACCTAACAGTCCAGAGACTGAGCTGTAAGCATGACAAAGCTGTAAATGACTGGTCCTTGGGAATGCGTGTTGAGGGTATATACACCTCCCTAATCATTTTCTTCAGTCTTTAATATGTAAGTCATACAGTTATCGTTACTTTTTTCCCTGCAACAATTCAACCATTGCACCCCAGATTAAATCGTGTATCTCTAAATGTGTTGTTTTAATTCTTTAATTCTTTCAATCTCACACTGAAAATTGTCAGAAAGCTATTACATGAGTTAATATTAACTTTTATATCCGCAAAGATGAGTTTGTTGCTTATTCATGGACAAATACAAGAGGCAAGTCAGTCAGAGGTTATTGTCTATCTTCTCTCTTTTCTGTCCTTTACCTTTATCTCATAAAAGCCACCTCAGGAGTGGGACTTTTGGTGCAGTTGATGGTGGGATAAGGCCGGGCAGGTCTGGATCTAGAACAAAGTGAACCAAGGGTGGGCCTTACTCTGTGCTCCTCAAGGATGCAGTGCCCTGGAGGGAAACAGGTCTGACCCAACACACCTGGCTCAGGTAACTTCCTGGTGCCAGTTTTGCAGACAGGTGAAGGAGCAGTGTGACCCAGTAGTAGCTCCAGAGACAAGCAATCTAAGAAGTGCTAAATCTTCCCCAAAGGAACACAGGGAGCCTGCTCCCACCTTTAAAAGGAGAACTAAGGGCAGAGAGGGAGAGAAACTAAGTTATAATTTATAAATAAGGGTTTATAAACATTTAGGAAATGCAAATTCTTTCTTGGAACCTTTATTTATAAGTTATAACTTAGTTTCTCTCCCTCTATGTCCTCGATTCTCCGTTTAAGAAGTTTTATTTGCTAAATATTACTCTGTTGAAATGAAAGAAGAAAAATGAGAGAACAGATATTTCTGATAAAAAGGCCAAGCAAGAAAGTTGAACTTGACAAGTGTAGCCTCTGGAACACATCTCTGGATTAATTCAGATGATAGTAGGGGGATCTCCACTCATCGTAATGCAGCCGAAATACACATAGTGAATTCTGTCACATTCCCAGGGAGAAGTTCAGTCAGAAACACCTGTGCTGTTCTCACAAGGGAAAGGTCAGAGCTCCATGAGGAGTTTGTGTATCTGCATTTGTCTTGATGGGCATTGTGCCTTAACTAGAGAAGAGATCAATAAACCAATGCCACCACCATCCAATTTGAATCCAGAAGTTCACACTTGACCTAATTCCAGAATACAGTTCGTGCTTCTAGAAGTAAAATTCTAAAGCACACAATTCCAGATATTTTAGCCACTATACAAAGATGAATCAGGGTCACATGATCATGCTCACGTCAGAAGATGCAGGAGAAGGACAAAGGTTTGCGTTTTGATACAAAACACGCATGTGCCAGCCACCCGATCGTTTACAGTAGGGAGTAGTTGAGTGGAAGGGCATGTCTGTACTACCTTAGGACTGAGGACCTACAGAGAGAACACTGGAAAGAATTAGCAACAGAATAACCCAGGTTTTGTTTGATTCCGTCTCTACCACCCCACAGCTCGAATTCAGAGCAGTCAATGTGTAGGGATCCACATTGAACCAGCCAAGCAGGCCCTCTCGTAGTAGCCTGGCCAGAAGTCACAGCAGCTGTGTTGGCCGCTGATTCCCTCATTCAGAGTTCAGACATCCTGAGCCTGTCCACGTCCCTGGGATTACAGATAACACAGATCCTCAGAGTCACCCCTGGGCCATCAAACAAAAACGAGGGTGACGCAGAGAAGGAACACTGCAGCAGGGAGTGCAATTCTTAGGATGCATGGATTTTGGTTTCACTCGCATCCTGCTTCAGTCGGAGCTGCCCTGGTGTCAGGCGGATAGCTATAGAACTCGTGTGCATTTTCTCTAGTGTCTGTACTGGAGGCTGGTGAAGATTTTACGGACCCTTAACACTGCACAATTTGGGGGCTTTCTTTAGAGGAAACAAATGCAAAATTAGGACTGTACTATTAGGTACAAGGATTTGGATACGACCTGAGCAAGTGAGGAACCCTGAAGCTGAAGTTTCATTAACTTCTTGATAAATTCACTCTGTGTCATACATAGCAAAGGCCTGATACTTGTCTCTTGAATGAATGGTTGAATTAATTTATGTAAATTTTAGCTGCTGGCTGCCCTCTCAATAACTGAAAAATGACAAGCAAAAAATACCAATCATGCTTATCCATATCTAGTGATCAGTGATATATGGAAAACTGATCTCAATGCTGTCTAGAATGTTTCTCGCTTCATTGGTACCTTACCATGAAAGGTAGATCCTTGTACTTGAATCTTTAGGTCATATCTCAGCCCAAGGGTAAGATGCTATCAAAGCCGCATTTCCTGTGGTAGAGTATGTGAGTACTGAAATTAACTGTGCACTTTTTCCACTTGAGGAGCCCCCAACTTAAAACTTAAAGAACGTTATGCTAGTTGTGCCACTAGACCCTAGAATGGTATTGAATGCATGAATAATAAGCATCTTCTCAAGCAGACTTGAGGGCTTGCCCCAGTGGAATATCTGTGTCTCTGGTGAGAAGCCTTCCTCTTTATTCCTTAGTTTCTATTAACGCTGTTTCCAATTTTTGATAGCAGTTAATTGTGTCATTTCTTGGTAGAAATGCTGGCTAAACCCATGCTTACCAGGACAAATAATGTTCTCACTCAGTGATGTTTACATTTTCAAATATTTGCAGATTGATATCTTGCTTCATCTTAGACCTCTTTGCCAAAAAATGCAAGGTCAGCTCCCTGAATCTTGCTTTCTTATTTCCTAAATTATCCTTCATACCTATTCCAACCTTTAAAGGACAAATTTGAAAAGTTTATCCTTTGCTTTGAAAGTTCACGAA